ACTTAACGGTATTAACGAGAAATCCCTACAAAAGTCTGTGTCGAACTAAAATAACGGTTCGAATTTGTTCTGACGTAAAGCAACGAAATCAATCAGCACTCAACAGTATTTCTGTATAAAAAATTGTAAAGTACCTTCAAGTGCAATAAGATTTACGACAAACAAGGTGTCAAACATCATATCCGACCCTCAAAATAAAAAACAAATGTGTGAAACAGCTTTTAAGTGAAACAATCGATAAATTTCAAACAAAAAATGGGTGGGTCGATTTTTTTGATGACCAGTATATGTTTATGTGCCATAATATTGTCAGAATTTGAAAAACATTGGCTCATGTAAAAAATAAAAAGTTACAGGAAACTCTGGAATAAACCAAAATGATTTTATAGCTATCCATATATTGCGGTGTAATTCTTTACGTCGAGCGTTAAATAACCCGATCGGGGACGAGGACTAAGGTCAAAGGTTCGGGAGGGTCGTCTATCTGCCTGCTTAGTGACATCATGTGCAAAAATGAACTTTTGCGGTTTGCTCGCTCCAACTTGAGACATACGATAGTTTTTATACCTTTTAATGACCCTCAATATTTTTGATTGTGGATTTAAGGATTTTTTATAGGACAAAGTGTCGTCGGAAAGGAAAGAACAACGTTTACCTGGCCAACTAGTATTATATAAATTAAATTCATTTATAAATCACACAGACTGCAGACTTCCCGGAGCGTCGGTGAACATGTTCAAGATCGTCCCCACCATTACATTAGATTTGATAAACCACAAATTCTCGCAAAAGAACACCGATTCCTACCAAGGATGATACGCGAGGCTATTGAAATTAAAAAATATACAAATTTCAATAGAGAAGATGGTTGGGTGCTACCATCTGCTTGGGATCCTATAATTAACAAAATTAAACCCAAACCCAAGCATACCACTGCAAGACTTCATGATACTATAAGCTCGTTTTGCGTAAATCGGACCAAAAATTAATATTAAAAAAAAACTGAAGGTAGCCGGACTAACTATGACATTGGGACGTCAAACATCTCAGTCCCCCCCGTGACCATGGGCGCTGTAAAGCACCCGAAACGTCGGGATAATAATAAAAATAAATTAAAGTAATTAAACGCGATAAAATCCGTAAATAATAGTTTTATTCAATGTGTAGTGTTCGCGTAAATTTAAGAAATCATTTTATTTAAGTTTATTAAAAATACGAATGGACAAAAAGCGCTTACATCACCAGTTCTAAAACTCGTCTTATAATTTATACCCATTACAGTCTATAAAAGTCCCCTCCTGAGCACAGGCCTCCCCATAGATTTTGCCATAGTTGCAAAGCTTGGCAGACGGGTTGGCAAACGCAGTTTTTTATTATTTTGAGTTGCCAGAAATATGCTGCTACCCATCTCCTGTGTCAGTTTTCCCCTGTCGCCTTTTATGACACCGACGGAACGGTATGGGGTAGTGGATAGTGGTACAAGGAACAGAGACAGTTGGAATAGGTTTCCAACTTTATCTAGTATAGCCCACTTTAACTTAGTGCAGCGGAATGGGTAAGAACTTGGTCGCTGTGCCTGAAAAATGCTCAAGGGAAGTAAACGACGCAGTGCAGTAGCGTTAACAACGATAATGTTCTCCAGACCGAATTTAGATTGTGGTGGCCAGTCTCGAAATTAGCCATCTACGGGACAGGATTGTAGTGCCCGCGTACATGTGCACTTCCTTCGCTCTCATATTCCGATTGTACGGTAATCGAATCCGGAGGGAAAACAGGCGGAGGACCAACGGCTTTACGTGAACGGCTGTCTGAGGCATGAGGGTGAACCTCAGAAACCAACAAACACCGCCAACTTTCTGCCTGCAAGCTGCTACTGAGAGTTTATTTACAGAAAACTGATGTTAGCCTCACCAGAGTTTCGAACCCGTCATGATCAGAAGCCGCATTCACGATCACTAGACTAATGTGGCACTCAACATGCGTGTACGCAACACTGCGTTCTCTTCTAGACCCACCGTGCAATTTAATTGTAAAAGATCTAATCAATAGAGGAATGTTTGAAATGCTGTTAATGTTACAGCATTATATAATCAGCGCAATAAAATCCATACGGTATTTTCTGCGTTGCGGCGACCCGTTACTCTCCTCATAGAATTAGCATACATCCGTAAACTATTACGTAGAATAGACAGTGGATACATAACAAACAATTATGAAAGCTTTTATCAAGATTTAAACGTACACAGAATGTTTGGTCTGTTTGTAAACTATTATTTAATGAGTCCAGCGGCTAACGTTTAAACGCGTTTCGTGGAAGCTAGCCAGAATTTGGTATCTATGTGCATTATAGGTAGTAATTGGTACGTGGTAGAGCCATGCTGCAGTTATATTAGTAGTATAGTTTTAGCACGAATGGGTCGGCTCAACCGGGGAAGGACCACGCTCTCACAGAATACCAGCATGAAATGGTAGCTTGATGCTGCTGTGTTTCGTATGGTGAGTGTAGAGAACCGGAGACCCTTTTTACTGGAAATGAGGCATGCCGTCTTGGTCCTCACGGGTGACAGCGCATCTGCTGTCTATGGGCCACAGCAACCACTTAAAATCAGGTGGACTGTGTGCTCGTTTGTCACTCAATCCAATAAAAAAAGTCATTTGCATTCAATAAATACATAAAAAGAAAACTCAAAAATTGGTCGTCCGATTTTGATGAAATTTATGTGTGTATTTCAGTGGGATGGATTAAAAACTCAATTGGACCCGGTAAGTGACGATCTGAAACATTTAAAAGAGTATACTCGGACAAAGTTGGCAATGAATTGACTAAACGATTTGGAGTTAAATCAACAATTCGGCTTGCGGTTGGCACAATTCATTTGTCTGTGGCGCGCTAAGAATGCGAGCCGAAGTCACAGCCATTCTCAGTCTATTCTCTACGGAAGCGCACAAAAAGCTATCATTAGGATAAGTTAAAGATTCATATATTTTTTCACCAATTTTGTTATAGCAAATACGGACAACACTAACTACTTAAGCTTCTCGTCTCTATCCACATTAAAATGAAAAGGTTAAACACATACGTGGTAGAGCCACGCTGCACCTATATTATGGTTGTAGCACGAATGGGTTGGTTCGACCGGGTAAGGACCACGCTGGAACTTTTTACTGGAAACGAGGCATTCCATCTTAGTCCTCTGGAGTGATTGTGTGCTCGTTTGTTACCCTTATTCTATAAAAAAAAGTAATAAGACAAATATATATGTACATGGTAGAGGCATGTTACAGCTATATTATGGTTGTAGCATAAATGGATCGGCTCGACCGGAGAAGGACCACTCTCTCACAGAATACTAGCGTGAAATAGCAGCGCAATGATGCTGTGTAAAGAACCGAAGACCCTTTTTACTGGATACGAGGCATTCCATCTTAGGACTCTGTGCTTGTTTGCCACCCTTATTGCATGCAACATGTTTTACTTATTTAGTGAATAGTTGTTATTGTTTCTTAGTTACCTTTTTATAATCTTCATTTGTTTCCCAACGAAGTATTACCAGTATGTTAATTTTAGCGGTTTTCAATTGTGGTAACATTAATTATATAACATATCGATGAAGCAGGGTACATAGCCCAGGTTATTGAACTCTGAGTATGTAACAACTTGATAATTTAAGTATATTCTTCGTTGTGATTATAATCCTGTGTAATTATTAAGTTAGTATTAAGATGTTTAATTTTCATGTTGTGTAAACAGTCACCTAGTGGGTTGGTATTTAGTGAGATTCCCTAAATAGTTTAGAATTTTTACTTAATAGTATTATAGCGACTATATTTTAAAATATATGTACATATTACATTTATCATATAAATTATTTATTAACCTAATGCACATAATAATTTCTGATACCGATTCATTTCACAGTTTAACAGTTCTGATTCATCATTCTAATCGTGTACCGATTCTATAAACATTTCTAATACCTTAAATTCACAGTTAAAATAATCTTTTCAATCCAACAATAAATCTTTCAATATCTGCCACATTAACGCCGAAAGATATCCGAGCACAGAAATCTAAATAATATTTGTGACAAATGGTTATCCCAAGTTCTTGTTCTTAAAAGTCAGCGTGACGGGCGTAAAGATGATTCTTGGAATAGTGTATTATCTTCCTTCTGTTGACCATTTCGCCACGTCAGAAACGGCTCTCGAAAAAATTGTCTATGAGTGTGCACTACATAATCATGGGCGATTAAGCAGTGTGCACACTCCACCGACCTCTTGATAAATTCTAACCGTTACCAAAAACTACGTACGATCTCATTGAATCAGTCAATCTTCACATTCTTCCTTCGGGGGCAACACATCATAATTCCTCTCTTCTTCTTCTGATCATATGATTATTTTGCACACAAACTAAAATCTACCAAATTTTTGCCTACTTTGTTCACTTGCGCAAATTTTCTAAAATAAATTTGGAAAACTAAAAAGCGACGCTACTAATTTAAATTTTGATCAATTAAAATTATTAACGACTGTCGGTGATATTTTATCGATTTTTAATAATGAAATAATTAGTCTATTTAATACCTCCTTGAACGATTGAGGGAACGATGTTGGACGGTAAGAATGATGATGATATATTTAGATGTTTTATTTATTGTAATTTCAGTATGTATATTTTCTTATCATTTGTAACGTATATATTATATCTATGTATGATTTTTTCATATATTTACATACACTATATGTAAAGTTTTTGTACATTATATGTATATCTTAGTACGTATGTATGTATAAGTATACGTATTTGCACCTGCCACAAAATCTCATCACTCCACGTGTTGACTGGCAAAGAATGCCATTGAACATTAAGCCAGCCCTTTGTTACCCCAGTTATTAATGTGTTAGCAATGAAGATTACATAAATAAATAAATCAATCAAGAGTACTTACACCTTGTACTATAATAGAAAAAACAATGCAGTTATGTTATTCACTTACCAGAGTTAGACACCCTGTACCGCAAGCCCCGAGCGCCTTTCTGACATCGATTGTAAGTTCCAAGTTCGCCATAGCTGTTATTAACACGACTGTAATCCGCTAGATGGCGGTTCCCGTCGAGGTGGTTAGGCAGTGAGCGGTTCCAACCCATAACATCACCCACCACGGATCCGCACACTGACGACTCGGTCTGGCTCTTAGAGTCGCCATTGCACAAGTCTCCACTGGACCTAGCCCGTCGGCCTTTAAGACCCTTGGAGGAGTGCTGGCTGATGTTGGAGCCCATAGCGTGGCGGGACCTTACGTAGGCCCCGCCGTCATCATCTTGCCAGTCGGTCGACTTGCTATCGCTAACTCTTCCACACTGGTTTTGACCTGAAACAAAATATATACATTTTATTCTAACTAGTTTTTCGATGTGAGTTGTAATCTCTATATGATAATTCACTTAAGGAGCTTTTCGACTGTCCCTGTACATGTTAGTTTTCCTAATATTGAAAATTTTACGTGATAAATAATATCTAGTAGAGATATGCAGATTTATTAGTAATATAGTTGTAGCACGAACGGGTCGGCTCGACCGAGGAAGGAACACATTCTCACAGAATACCAGCGTAAAATAGTGGCTTAACGCTGCTGTGTTTCGTATGGTTCGAGTGTAGTGAACCGGAGACCCTTTTAACTGGAAAGGAGGCATTCCATCATAGTCCTAACGGACGAAAACGCATTTGCATTTTGATTTATAATCAAAGATAGATATAGATTTCTATGGCACACAGCAACCACTTATCATCAGGTGGCCTTTGCTCGTTTGTCACCCTTCTCCTATAAAACAAATAATAAGTTCCGAAACAATTATTCGCAAACAATTTGAAACTGAGACCTAAGCTACTTGTAGTAATGTGTTGTGTATATAATAATCCACTACCCAATTTTGTCTGTGTTTAGATATTACATCTCTAGTATAATTCACCTACGTTGTCAGCACTGTTATTCAAAAAATAAATCTCATGTCTTGATGTTGGAAGAGTAGTTTGGCGCCCTTTCATACATGTACTTTTACTAAGGGAGTCCCGCCTCTTAAACGTAGTGATTATATTCTCTTTGTTACGCATAGTCAATGAAAAGTGTTTTTTTATGTAAATTGCGGCTCTGCTGGTGGTTTTATGTTGTTGGTAAGTACTAAAAATTGTTAAATGTTTCAGGATATTGCTTTTCTGTTTCTTAAAAATTCTACGAAATGATAAAAACTATAACAATAGTAGTTCTACTATAACCTCAAAATCTGATACTTTTTTTTAAATATATCTTTTCTGCAGCTAGTCCGCTGTAAAAATAAGATCATATAGGAATTCCCTCATGATCGACAATACATCCCACAATTTTCCGATGCTCTTGGTTCCAGGGCGAGCAATGTATGGGCACGGAGCAATGTCCTTTACATCTATAAAATTAAAATCATAAAATCCGTAAAATTAGTTTTGTTCAAATAAATCTTATAAATCAAAGTTAATTTCCATATCATTTAAAATAAATTAATTCAAACCTTACATTAGACACTGCATTGCTCATAGCTGTTTATTCATTTACCTCTCTACTTCAGCTCTATCTGGTCTTAATTCATTTTCTGTTTTCCCAGTACAAGTTCATTAGCAATGTGAGCCCGTACAGTAGATCCCACTAAGCGCTATTATCATGCGACCTACAGGCTGATTGCATAAGTTAAACCTAACCAAAATTTACTTCAGAATTTATAGTACGGTACTGACTACGAAATTTTCCAAAATGGTAGTTATATTAACATAAGTCGACAGAAATACGCCTATGATTACGTATTAAAATGAAATTATTTATAGTTTATTTACTAGCAAATCACTTTATCATTTTTATATAAATCCACACAAATGTATTCATAAAAGTAAGAATTTAAAAGTTAAAAAGATTAAATAATCTTTTAATGTAAAAGAAAATATAATACATATCCCAGTATAAAATAAAAACTTAAGCTTTTTCAAGTGAAGCAAAGTAAGACGCGATACCGACGTCGACAGATATTATTAGCATCGATGACAAAATGTTTTATGTCCGGCATTCGACGAAATAGCGACGCGATACTTTAAAATGCAAACATTTTCCATTTCATTTATTTATGAAAAAAAAAAACACCTTTATTGGTAAAGGCATTGTGCTATAGACAATGCCGTGGCAGTAGGCGATGCATTGTTAATGCGTTATACAATGGAACTTCCTTTCCGGTTCCACAATTTCTTATATTAATAGTAACGTGGCAGAAAATCTTTATGATATTGTTTAACAGCATAAAAGAATAATAATACTGAGTATATCTTAAGTATATATAATATTGTGTACACCGTTAATACAAAAGTAACAAATTATTAACAATTATTTGTATAAATATAGGGACAAACTAACACGCACGATGCTTGTAGCTCGTTAACACTATCTGCCAACTCTAAAAAAAATCTACAGATTGCAGGGTCGCCAGTTATGATAGCCTAGTCCATAAAAACAAGAATGTAGCGCTTTATCGCAAAGACAGAATCTAAAAGTTATCGCATAAATCGCAGTAAGCCACAAATTTTAAATTTACTCACTTCAATAAATAAGCCGTGGTAGCTTAGATGGTTAGCGCTCGCTGTAAATCCCACAGTTCGCGAGCAACCCGAGTTCGATCCCCGCTGGCACCAATGAAATTGTTAATTGCAATTTTAAGTGCTGATTTACCACGTGCTAGGCGATGAAGGAAAACATCGTGAGGAAACCTCATGTCTGGCAGCGCGGAGGACACATCCTTGCCCTAAAACCCTCTCAGAAGTGAGACGAGGCCTGTGCCTAGCAGTGGGACGTATACAGGTTGTAACTTTATACGCCCCAAAGATGGGCATAGACCTTCTTTCATTTCTGAGAGGTTTATCCTCTGAGCTACCACGGCTCTAAGCAGAAGTAAAGTTTGAAATCAATACCATTTAATACATACGCTCTACTCTTTTGTGTAATATGCATAAAACAAAATTGATAAGTCACAATATTGTTGCTGGCATTCTTTACGAAATCAATGGCAATTCATCAAAACTTGATATTTTGAAAAACACCTTATGAAAGTGGCCTATATGTCAAAACAATCGGGAAAAAGATCTGTCTTATGATACTTCACTCGTTATAAAAGGAAGCTTTTTGTACCTGGTAGGGGTGTGATGATTAACAATACCAACTGTGTTGGTATTGTTGCGCGGCTAAGTTGACATCTCATCTCATGGCACTAGCGCCATCTAGTGTCGGGTAACAGAGCGAGGAGAGAGCTTTCCAGAAAACGACACGACAAATTTTTTAACCGACAGCGCCATCTAGTATCAAATTGAAGAACTAAACTTTCTAGAAACTCTACACTCGATCTTTCTGCGCTTGGTCGGTTGGCGCGCGTATTTACTCGAATATTCTGGAATATTCTGGATGTTTTCGTGGAAGAGCCCTATATAAAGGCGCTGCAATACGCGATCGGGGAAGTATTGAAGTTGGCGAGACAAGCGAAGCTTTGGAGCAGAATAAAGTGAATCAGTGTGATTAATTATTAGTGTTTTTAAGTTTTAATTGGTGTAAAGAAAATTAAAGTGTTAATTTAGGTAATTTTATCGGCAATTTTTATTGTCACGAACCTCAAGCTCGTAAGAATTGGTGTCAGAAGTGGGATAAAATCATGCCGATTTTACCTAAGGAAGGAATTTTGAGTCTCAAATATTCCAGGAAACTTGCCGAGTTATGGGCACTCATAAAACAAGAACGACTTCTTATCACCCGCAATCTGATGGAATGTAGAACGATTTAATCATACATTGGAGAGGTACCTAGCAAAAGTTGTAGACAATCGGCAACGAGATTGGGACAAGCACATACAACCGTTTTTGTTGTCATATCGAAGCGCTGTTCACGAAAGTACATCAGTGACACCAGCTTTCGCAAACTTTGGGAGAGAATTACGTTTGCCTGCAGACCTGATCACCGGGATACCACCTGATGCCCCACGCAGTATAACCGATTATGCAAATGACTTGCGGAACAAAATGAATGACATTTACGAGCACGTCAGACAATCGGGCCAGCAAATGTCTGAAAAGATGTAAACCCGGTATGACAGCAAAATGAACAACAAAGGGTTCGACGAAGGTTCGCTAGTGTGGTTGCACAATCCAGTCCGCAGCAAAGGGAAATCTCCTAAGCTTCGAGCTAAATGGGACGGCCCGTACCGGATTGTGACCAGGATCAACGATGTAACCTACCGGATACAGAAAGGCGCAAGAGGGACTCCTAAGATCGTCCATGTGGATCGCCTGGCGCGTTATTATGGGGCTGATAATGCTCGGGACGAGCATGTCTTAGGAGGGGGCAGTGTTGCGCGGCTAAGTTGACATCTCATCTCATGGCACTAGCGCCATCTAGTGTCGGGTAACAGAGCGAGGAGAGAGCTTTCCAGAAAACGACACTACAAATTTTTAACCGACAGCGCCATCTAGTATCAAATTGAAGAACTAAACTTTCTAGAAAATCTACACTCGATCTTTCTGCGCTTGGTCGGTTGGCGCGCGTATTTACTCGAATATTCTGGAATATTCTGGATGTTTTCGTGGAAGACCTCTATATAAAACGCTGCAATACGCGATCGAGGAAGTATTGAAGTTGGCGAGACAAGAGAAGTTTCGGAGCGGAATAAAGTGAATCAGTGTGATTAATTATTAGTGTTTTTAAGTTTTAATTGGTGTAAAGAAAATTAAAGTGTTAATTTAGGTAATTTTATCGGCAATTTTTATTGTCACGAACCTCAAGCTCGTAACAGTATTGTTGATCGAAGTAACAAGTTCATGAATACAGTATTCAACCGCAAGCAAATACTAGCCGCCACTGCACACGTTTGGCGTATGCACGACGAGCAGACGCATTGTGTGTAATATCCTTTAATATAGACATAAGAATTCAGTGAGATAATTACATTAGAACAGGCTTTTTCAATTTATAGCCCCACGTACCCCTATTAAATTACTTTTCCCCAGACACTAACGAACCTCCAAAAAGCCTGCCTTAAGGCAAAGTTCTGCCTTAGGGTGAAAATAAGGTTTTTTAAAATATACATTCACGAGTTACATAAGTTTTTAATAAATGTGGTGAAAAAAAGCAAGTAATGCTCGCGACTTTCTTCCTCGGACCTTACACCATTGAAAATATATTACGTTGCAGCCGCAAGGAAACGCAGTGGAGGTTAGTCGCATTTAGGGTTAGCACATCTTTTTTTGAACAAATATAGTATTTTTCCAATAAAGATGCAAAAATATAGTACTTTTGAGAAATTAAGGTAATACAAGGCA